TTGCCAATATTCGGTTGTAGCTACCGTCTTACAGATATTGGGTTATAGCTAATCTTGATATTAGATTGTAGCTACTGTGTTGATATTAGCTTGTAGCTACCAGCTAGCAAATATTAGCTTATCTGGAAAAAAAATTCAGCTATTAGCAAAAATGCTCATTTTAGCTTTTAGCTACCTTCTTGCTAATGTATGCATCTCTTGAGCTTGTTTAACTTAACCAGCTCAATTTCTTTTTCAACAGATGTGAAATTTGATTTTAACCAGCTGTAATTTGGCATTTCTACTGCATTCTGGAAGAAATTTTATTTTCTCCAGTTCCAAATCTATGCTAAAATGTTAAAGATGATCTTGAGCCTATATAATAATTAAAAAAAAAAAGTTCTTACATTTAAATAGAGTCTAATGCTGTGATAAGTCAACTGATATAGTTTGTTAAAAATGAGAAAAGATTGTTATTGCAAGTCCAAATGCTTTGAGTGGGGTAAAACAGTAATATTTAAAGTAAAAAAAAAAAAAAAAGTACTTGAGACTCTAGAACCCTTTGGAAATTCACATTATTCAACACGCTGAAATTTTGGACATTTTCTAAATTACTTGAGGGTAAAATTGCACATTTTTATAAACTTCCCCCTCATTTCAAATCACCAGTCAAGATGGAGCTATTCTCAGTTTTGTCATTTCGGCACAAAATTTCTTTGTGGGGCATTTTATGTGTCAGCTGGTTGGAGTAAAAAGTGAAAACAGTAATTTACAGCTGCGTCAAAAAATAAAGGTCGTTGCATTTATTGAGATAGACAAAAATTGCGTTGATGTTGGGAAACTTTACATTTCCTGGACGTTACTTACCGCTTTCAGCTGCTCCAATCTGTCCTTCATTATCAGGCGTGCAATTTAAACAGTCCAACACGACAATATTGGCACAAAATGGCTGAAAATACTGCTCAAACTGCGGATTCTTCAGCCAGTTGGTGAGCTAGCTGTTAAATAGAAAACCAACCGCCAGTTGGGACGGAAAACTCAGCTCCCCAAAAGTCTTGGCAGAAGTGTCTGAGAAGTCGAGTTTTCTTTTTTCTGAAAACCGGAGTCTTTCCGTCGTTTTTCCATGCAATATGGCTGCTGGGTTTAAAGGCAGTGTTTTTTCTTTGCCAAATCTCCTCCGAGGGGATTAAAACAACAGTTGTGTGGAGCCGTTTAATCTGTCCCTCCGCTGGACGACAGTAATCATTCTAAAACGCACTTTTCGGGCTCACGCATGCGCAAACGTATCCTCCGACTGCCAGGATGAAGCCACGCCCTGAGCCACCTGCACTGCTGATGCATTCAGGTGTTGTAGTAATGTTGAAAGATTCGTGATGCATAATTAGAAACTCAGACAGGTCCATTCATAAAGTTGCAGTTTTGGCTTGTCAAAGCATATATTTAAAATCAGTAGAATGAAAATCATAAGATGAGCTAATAATAAGTATTTGTTTTGTATGTATTTTATCCACATATTTTTATTATGTATTCATTTTTTAAACTGATTAACAGATTTTTCATTTTTTTAGATGCATTTATTCTTTAAAATTTTTAATAAGTCTGTTCATCTGTTTAAAAATTGAAATAATGCAGTTATCAATGAAAAATAAACATTTAAAAAAATATGAGGACTCTTTATCACCCATCTGGATAAGGCTGTTGTAATATTTCCCCATTTTTATTTATTAACTTTTTCTCTTGTTTTTTTCTTGTCTGAGTTTCTGTTTGATTGATAAATTTTGAAAAAAAAAAAGTGTTTTGCCATTAATTTACCATCAGAGCACTTAATTTTTAAGTTGGTATTCATCTCCTGTTCCTAGAAGAGCTTAAGGACACACCTGCACAGTTTCAACAGGTGAGATAAATGCTGATCTTCCTGAGGGATTCACCTGTGAGCCATGCACATGGAACAGTCACAACAAAATAAATACAAATAAAGTCGATGAGATTATTGTGGACTTTAAGAAGCCAAGCTAAATGATCAATACAGACAAAATATACATTTTGTGAAAATTTTGTGTGTTTTCATCATCTGCAGCCAAAAAAGTCAAGCATAAAAGGACAGAGCCTGTTTTATTTGGCTTTGAATTTGTTTATGAGCTTTAAATTTAACTTTTAATGAAAAAAAACTCTGCAACAATTTATTTCTCCTTGGAAACATTTCAACTAGCTGTTGAAATTAAAGCCACTGAATGGCAAACTGTTATATAATAATGTAAAATAAATACTTGCTTATTTAGATTTTTTAATATTTTAGGCAATGGTAATTATTTTTACCATTACTATCTGTTTATGTTTTTAATTTGCACTGATTTATTGAGCCCTGGATTTATTTATTTATTTTTAATCTTGTAAAGCACTTTGGTCAATGCAAGGCATTGTTGGAAGGTGCCATAGAAATAAAGTTTATTATTGTTTGTTTCTCTGAAAATAAAATGAAAATCCTCTAAAATGACTTTTGGTTAGTTGAGGAAGAAAACAAAAAGAACCACAGGATTTCTTCTCTTTTTGAATCTATATCCATGATTATAATGTCAACAAATGCTGCATGAATCAGACATTTTAGGAAAGATCTTAAGAACACCACTTGAATTAGTTTCTCAAATCTCTTTTCTATGATGGTTTTCAGAAGCAAAACAGGTGTGCAATCAGAAATAAAAACTAAAGTGAAAGATTGCCATTTTTAACTCTTCACAAAAATATGAGTCATTTTATTAGCTATATTCATTAAAACGTTCAATACAAGAACAACTGGACTTTATTTGCTATATTTTACTCAATGACATGTATAATAATGGCGTTAAATAGTTTTCAGTTTTTGTGATGTTCCCTGAATGCAACATTTTCAGGTTTTCGTGTAATTTGTTAAAAATAATCCACTGAAACCTCGTTTTTTCCGAGTTTTACTTGTTACAGTGAAACATAGAGCAGTCAGCATAGACTCTGTTAGCCAACTTTAACAAAAGGCCCTCTGACATAAAGTAAAGAAAGTTTAAAATATTTTACTTAATGTTACGAACTCTGTAAACAAACGCGGAGGCTAATGACAGCTAAATCGTTGCAGTACAGCTTGTAGTGTGTGGCTCCCGTGTGAAACTGGGTTAAAGTTGTCAGAACTTGCACCATATTTGTTCCTGAGTGTTTGATAAATGATGCAGCAGGAGCAACATCCGCTTTAGGTACCAAAAAAAAAAAGCTTTACGTCACAGCCAAGTCAACGTATTACGTAATTCCGTAGAGCCTGAACTCTACTCAACAAGAGGACGTGCCTGACACCTACTGGACAATAACGGTATTGCATTCCAAATTATTAACTCCAGTATGTACACAACTGTTTTAATTTCGTTAGAAATTATATTTATCAGTATTTTTTAACACGAAAATCAATATATGTGATAAAGTCTTCCTGGTTTTAGTGGCAACTACGGTTTGTAAAACAATAAAAATCTTCAGCAGTAATAAATTTTGTTTTGCGGCTTGTTTAAACTCATCATTGCACATTAATCTATGAGCAGAAGCAAATCTTAAGCTTGCAGTCTAGCTGAACAAGTGATGAAACCAAGTCTGTGTTGCACAAGCACCAACAGGAGTTATTTTGGACCAGAGAATGTTAAACTGGTGTCACTTTATTTTTCCCTTTTTTTTTACAAGTTCTACAACTAGTTTGGATGGTAATGAAACAAGCTTCAATTATTTTTGTACATGTCAGACTGAACTTATTCAATTAAACATTTTATTTCTTTTGTAAATTATCTACAAAGTGTAGCAGTTTAATTTTGGACATCTAAAATCACGACTATTCTTTTCTGTATTATCCCATTTCACGGTAAACTTGCAGGTTGTTCAAACCTTCAAGATCCTTCGTTTTGAAATCACAGACAAGACTATCATGTTAAATTGAGAATGTTTTTATTCAAAGTTTATTCCCCTTAGTGCTTCCAGTACAGCGTACAACAGCATTGTGAGCAGGATGTGCGCAGTGGAGGGTGTTTGACAAAAAGAGCGGCATGTTGCCATGCCAACAACAACACGGGGTGGGTGTGCCATACAGCGAAATCAGAACTACTTTTGCACCAAGTTTTTTTTTTTGTCCTCCGTAATTTTCAAAACAAAAACATTCAAAAATAAAAAAAAATATCTGAAAAGGGATTTTACAGTAAGGGGGGGGGGGCCGCAAAACAACAACTTTCTGTCCACAAGTGGGGGACGGGAGGGTGGGAACCAGGAAACAGGTTAGAGGTCATCTTCTTCATCTGGGAGTGCTGTCTGTGATGCAACCTGAAAAACAGAAGACAAAAATCATTGACTCCCTCTAAAACATCACCAGTTGAACAGTTTGTATTTTCCAAAGGAGACAGACGACAGCTGAGTTTAAAGCTTTTTACTCACTTGAAGCTCTTCCTCATACTTAGCAGCAAGTGAGGGGTCCATCTGGACCTCAGGGGGAGCGAGAGCCGGCATCGCCACAAACTCCAGGTTGGGATCACCGATCAACTTCCTTGCTAACCACAGGAAGGGCTTCTCAAAGTTGTAGTTACTTTTGGCAGAAATGTCGTAGTACTGGGGACGGAGCGGTCACACTTCAGTATTTGTACGCAGCTTACAAAACGGATAGCGGCTGATCTGGAAGCAGCTCTTACCTGCAGGTTCTTCTTGCGGTGAAACACGATGCTTTTGGCTTTGACTTTTCTGTCTTTGATGTCTACCTTGTTGCCGCAGAGGACGATGGGAATGTTCTCACAGACGCGGACCAAGTCGCGATGCCAGTTGGGCACGTTCTTGTAAGTGACCCGAGAGGTGACGTCGAACATGATGATGGCACACTGAGCTGTTGAAGAGGGAAGGAAACTTTAACAGGCTGCTCTGTGATGGGAGAGCGAGGCTGAATAAGTCAGTCTGCTGAAGGCGGAGACGCACCTTGAATATAGTAGCCGTCTCTCAGTCCTCCGAACTTCTCCTGACCGGCCGTGTCCCACACGTTATACTTGATGGGACCTCTGTTGGTGTGGAACATCAACGGGTGCACTTCTACTCCAAGAGTGGCTAAAAATCAAAGACGAGACGGTTTAGGAAGAGAAAAAAACTCAAACATTTAATCATTTTAAATTTAATTTTAAAACTATACAAACTTCTGAATACATTTTCTTCTGGCTGCTCCCTTCTTCAGGGGTCGCCACAGCAAGAAAACACATGAAAGATTTGGCAACTGTTTTACACCGGATGGCATTCCTGATGCGACCTGGGCTCAAACCTGCAACTGCAGGATTACAAGACTGTGGCGCTGATGACAGAGCTACTACCCCCAACAACCATCTCATACATGAGAAACTGTTACTGACTTACAGAATTTATTTATTTATTTTTTACATTGTATAAACATCATTGGGGAAAAAAATATTTGGGTACAAAACACTTCGTTAATTTATTATCCAAAGAACTGTCATTTATGTATTTTACATGTTGAGGGAATTGTAGATTCTAGTATTACATATTTTGGGTCAAAATAATTGGAAATTGTTTTAAGTTTTCTATGCATACTAAAATATTTTTTAACACTTTCTCTGTGCAGCCTTGCGTTTGCAAATGTCTCCAACATTTGTTGGGTAGGCAAGACAGAACTGAGCAGGCAAGTCCTGATCTCAGAATCACAGCCACGCAGGAACATGACAAATCAACATTAAAAATCAAAAGAACTAAACTTTAATTTCCCAGAACCGACATCATCTGTGTACCTGGCTCTTATGAGCCTAATGACCCTCAGGTAGAAGGGGAATGAGATTAAAGAATCTGTCTGGGAATTTAGCTCACATGTAGTTTAAAGTATGGAGATCCACACAACTAATTTTAAAATGATAAGCTCCTCAGATGGAGAACAAAACAGCTTCAAGTACAGGAGTCCAATTACTTGATAATTTTTATGTTCTGGGGACATTTCACTAAGTTGCATGTAGTTCGTGTACATTTATCTACAGAAAAAATTAAAAGACTGGTAATGATTTCACAATAAACATGT